TCTGCTGACGCCGGCATTGCTATCGAGTTGGCAGCCATGGCCACAGCACAACTCAACGATCCTGAGGTTGATCTACTATGCAGGTCTCCCCCAACTCATTCCGCTGACCTCATCAGACGGAACTATACTTTGCGATTTATCTCTGGGCACGCCGCGCCCAATCATCTCATGCGCGTTTCGGCAGGCCGTGTTTACTGTGTTGCACGCCTTGTCTCATCCAGACGTTCATGCATCGGTTAAACTCGTAACCGCACGATTCGGTTGGCACAATGTCTATCCGTACTTGGGCAGCTGATTGCCTTCCGTGTCAACGCGCGAAGGTGCACAAACACACGAGAAGCCCATTAGGCACATTTCCGACGCCAGACGCACGCTTCATCAAGTGCACGTCAACCTCGTAGGTCCTCTGCTGCCGTCGAAAGGCTCTGTATATCTACTGACCTGTATCGATCGAGTTAGTAGATTGCCTGAGGCCATCCTTATCCCAAATTGCCCTTCGGAAACAGTAGCGAAAGCTTTACTGGAGCGCTGGGTAGCTCAATACAGCTGTTCCGCCATCGTGACCACCGATCGAGGGTCACATTTCCTGTGAACATTCGCCACGTTGCTTGAGGATTTAGACTGTCGCCACGTTCAGAAGACGGCGTATCATCTGGTCGCTAACGGCATGACGGAGCGTTTCACTGCCAGGCAGCGCTAGGTGCGCACGCAGATCCTTCATGGTCTGAAACACTTCCCCTCGTCCTCCTAGGCTTAAGGAACACGGTCAAAACAGATTTCGACGCAATACCAGCGCAGCTAGTCTACGGTTGCACGCTGCAGTTGCCTGGACAGCTGGTAGCACCAGCTCCATCTACTTCCTCTTTTGACTACGGAAGTTACACTGATCGATTGGCTCACCAGATGCGTGAGCTAATGGAAACTTTAGCTGAGAAATGACTTCCACACCCAAAAGGCACGAAGAACGATGGGTTACAGGGAATTGCATGCGAGCCGTAGTCTTGTGTTCAGTTTGTAGGACTAGTAAATACCAGTCCGAGACGGTACGCGAAAGTAAGTGCGGATATCAGAAGACAACTGGAGTCGGACAAAGCGGACTGTATTCGATGGGCTACAAGAAGACGCGGCCAGATGAAGCAACACAGGAGGTACACGTTAGCGCAGGAGCTTACAAGGCGGTCGAGTATCGAGCCGGTTGTAAGGAAGATTAATACAAGAAAGAATAATGTACAATTGGGCAACAATTAAATAGTACATAAAAGATAGCAGTTATCTTTGTGGGCGCTACAGTGGTTGTAGGCGATTCCTTCGAAGCAGATCCCTGTCGTTTTGTGGTCACGCCCAGATAGATTGAGGAGGATGCATTTACCTCCAATGCTTATTTCCATGGTAAATACTAAGTCAAGCAAGTACCCATCCCTTGTTGGAGATGAGATTCGTTATATACAAATGCCATGGATTGCTGAAATTTTAATGAGGATCGTGATGGATACCAAATCTTAAGCATATTGAAATCATCAGCATTCCTCAAAACTACTAAGTGACAAGCCTACTGTTCAGCTTCAATTCAGTGCTGATTCTGAATCAACAAATCAAGGGCAGGATTCCGGGGTCAAATATTTCCACTTGTGCTTACACTTCCTCTTGTTCGTTTCGATCAAGATATATCGGAAGAACCATCAGAAGACTGAGAGAGACTGGGAGCATTGTCTAGCTTGGCTGTATAGTGGACTGTTTAGAGTAGTGGTAAGCACCGCGTCTGCACATTTGGTTGACTCGAGCCAACAGGTTAATGCACACGAGGTGTTCAATCCCAACTAAAGCGCACTCAGACCATCTAGGGTTACGAACATGTACCCATACCTGTTGTATACGTTCTATGTCATTCATCCGTGGTGTATTTGCTTGATGACGAACCTTTGGAAAATGTTTGTTCACTAATACTTGCTTCTGATGTCTATTCCGGGGATTTGTAATCAATTAAAACTTATCAAGGGTGCTGTAGACGGGAATCGATCGGTTGATAGCGCCGCCTGTGAATGCTCTTCATTTCTGTCCGTAGATGCTACTAAAAAATCGGCACTTTGTAACTTTATTGAACAGCAGAGTGCATGTTAAAGCGACGTACGACCTGCAAGACAGTATCTGATATCATCAGCGAGAATCACGGATATCAGGAGCAGCAGTTTATCAAGGTCACGTGCCAACTTTTTGTTGATCGACCGCCCCATCGGCCCAATTTTTGCTGCGGTTTAGTGAAGGTAAAGTAAGATCAAGGAGTAGTCAGGGAGCGAGCAAATTGTTTATTCTCGACAATTATGATTATGGTGGTGCAATCATTTGCATGACAATGATCATAAGTTTATCGAAAAAAGCAGAAGCAACTGATACAGAGTCAGACGGGAGGACAAGTATGGCACAAGGAAATGAGTGGTTTGTTCTGACGAAAATGGACATGCGTCATGGTTGCGTGTCAGGAATAATGATCATCGTTGTATCCTTTGAAAGCCGATAGAAATGGACAAGATACATATTCGTAAAGCAGCTGTGGTAAGGAATAGCGTGTTATGAAATGATTCATTGATATAAATCAAATTTACTTGGGAATTATGAGATGCGATAGAAGTTGTGCGTCATGATTCCGTGGCAGGAAATTGTGTTGCAGAGTGCGTTAGTTGGATGGAACAACTTTGCATCCTGCTTGCGTGATGCGCGACAAATGTTGACAAACGCAGCGCACTTAGATTTCTTTCACCTCTGAAAAGATGTTACAACACACGGACGTGTAGTAATCTTCCTTTGCTAATCGTAGTCGTCCGGATACTACGCACGCCTTCGACCGATTGTTAACACGCTCCGGAAACAAACAGCTGGAGCTTCGTATGCGGATTCTTCAGTCAAAGGAATCATTTATGATTTCGAGATGAATCAGGAATATTTGACACGATTGTATACAACGAATAAGGTTGAGATTTCCGGACCAGTAAATAACAAGAATGACGTAACCTCAGGAAAGGATATAGCGGCGAAGGCGTTTGAAGGCAAGAGTTACTGGCGTGGTGGGCATGTCATAAAGTTCGATGTAATACCAGGTAAATGAAAAGAATTTAGTAATATCCACAGGGAATTCCAGTCTACTGAATAGGGAGAATGAAGTATCCCGAGAATGCATATTGTAATAAAAGTTATCTCCCACTGGCGAGGTGGGCAAGGCAATTGACACTAGGTAAAATAACTTGTTTCTCGAGTACAGGCAGTGTAGGAGCAAAGTGTTCGTATCCGAGAGAAATGCGGCCCTAGATGGTGGTATTCTTGACAGGATGTGTTAGAATACCAATAGATCAGCTCCCATTATGTGAAGTGAGCATTCCCTGCGTAAATCGTTCTAGCGACGAAACTATCCAGGTAAGTTTTATCAACACTTCTTAGATCTCAGAAGAAGGGGATGGTGAAAATGGCAGACAAACAAGAGAGTGCGCCCATACGTATTGGGTTGTTTGGTAATTCGGCATACCAGGAATGGGAGATAAAGCGATTTGGAGCTAGGTGACGGCCATGCAACCGGGACGAAAGTAATCAATGGGAACTAAGCCGAATGAGACAATGGAATGATGCACAAAAGACCAGAAAGCTTAAGAATTGCAAGTAATACAGGTAAATCCGAAATGTAAGCAGCATAAGAAACGCTATAAATCCACGCAGTAGAGCACAGACAACACATCAAAGTTTGAGAAAAGACGCCTATCTGATATGCGTCCGAGATAATAGGCTTTGAGGGCGCCGATGGAGTATCACACACGGAAGCTCAAGGAACAGCATGGGTGTATAAATTATAGCATTATCTGGAGCCTGAATGGAATGGTCAGTGAGGTTCTAACAAAGGTTGGAAGTCCGATGAATAGTGAATGGGCAAGTGGAAATAAAGGCTGTTGCTCACGCCATGAGGGAGAATTGTAATGTCTATGGAAGAACGCGTTATGAGGTGTTTCGGTCAACGGAGTGTTGAAACTATCCATGACCTTTGAGTAAGGAAGCAGTGTCTTCTTATTTCGGTGGACGCAGAATGAGGCAGTTGTGATCTCTAAACGCATCGAACAGAGCGAAAGTCACAAGTCAATAATTTGCACCAAACCCAAGTGGGAAGCCGGAGGTTGTCACATCATGCACAATACATTTGGCAAATAAAGTAACGCATGTACAATATATTGGCACATTAAAGTTGTGCAATAATAAGCATGGCAATGTAGTGGACTGCCCCAATTGCTTTTGCGTGTATAATACCGACCGGTTTACCGCAATTATTAGCGCCTCACTGGTTGTAAGTATTTCCGAGTAGCACTAGATTGATAGCACGTTGATTACCTTCGATGGATCTACCAGACCGACTCCCATGATAATTATCGGTTAAACTGTGGTGATATTTATGTAGGCAAAACATTCCGGCGATTGACTCGAAAGATTGTACAACAATTCCCTAAGTGATTGAAGCATTGCATGAAGAAATATGGAGGAACGAATCGAATGAAGAAGCAAAATCCTACATTGTATATTAAAAGCACCTAGTCATGACTGGCCATCAAGTCGACCTATGGAATGCATTCAAGGTGCTGTAGATCAACCGCAACTCGAAAATGCTGACAACCAGTGAGGTGCTATCAATCGCGGCAAACCGGCCGGTGTTGTGCATGCAAAGGACTGCGGTGACCATAGTTTCGTAACTTTAATGTACCCATGTTTTTTCGTTTCGCATGTGCATGGGTTAGTTTATTTTCCAAACGCATTACGTACGCGAGGGAGAGTAACTGTAATGTTAACATAACGCAACTTTTGTTTTCTGTCCGCATTGAGCAGTTGGAGCTTAAGGCGACACAGCGTTTCAAATAGATGTGTTACCGTAAAGAGATCAGGTACAAACATGGTCTTCATAAAGAAAACAACTGACCACAATGATAAAGAAATGTGGATGTATAGGAAGTAAGAGTTAAACTGGAGAAGTGAGGTCAGTGTAACCGTTTCAGCTTGGAAACAAACGCTTCCAAATTGTACTCTGCCTCATAAGCACTTTCGAAGGAGTCAACAGGTTCGCTCTCAGAAGACTCGGATCGCTTCGCATCGGAAGAGGAGGGTATGCTAGAGAACCGGTCGAATAGGTGGGCGGTGTCCATGCCAATGAGGCTTCGGTTATCTGCAGTGATCACGGAATTCGCCAAGTGCAGCTTGAAAGCTTGCAGGTTCATGATTTGCTCCTCAATGCTGTCTTGGGTGATCAATCGGTAAACAGACACGGTACGACGCTGGCCGATCCGATGAGCACGATCCATCGCCTATGAGCAAATTCAAAGCAGTGTGTATAAGGAGAATGAATATCACATCGGGTAGCAAACAGGGTGGACAAATCAAACGACAGGAAAGTGCAGTCCGACTGGATGCAGGGGAGCTACATGTTTGCAGGGGCGTTACACTCTTCGTATTAATCAAGGAGGGTGAGGGGAACCTAAGAAGTGAGAACGTTTGATGGGCAACAGGTGATGAAGCTGGCGGGATCATATAAAACGCGGTTAATGAAAGTGGTCAGGATCACCGGGGTCACTGTGAATCAGTGGCTGCTGCAGTGACTAAATAACTGCCTGTGGTATAGCATGACATATCCATTTCGGAAGTTAGAAAGACAGGCTTACCTGCCATAGTCAAATATTCCCTCGCTAAGCCGTTATCATCCGATTGCTCATTCCAGCCTATCACCACCACCCCGCTCTGTCGAGCGTTCGTTGCACATTGCGGAAATGATTGCAGGAAGTGTCGCAGTGGACAAACGATGGGGTGGGGAAGAAGCATGAAGAAGGCAACCTATAGCTAAGCATCCATCGGACCGGCCCCACTTCCAGACTAGGGAGCCCGAAACAATGACTCCGAGTGGTTGGAAACGTTAAATGTCATGGCCCGTAACAAATAACAATGGCGCCAGTGCTGTTTCGCCGCATCATTTTTTTGTCAATCTCTCTGTCTTGCGGAATAAATTCATCCTCACTGGCACTGTCGACGATTATGCGACGTACAAAAGGCAGCGAAATCTATGCAAGAGAACAAAAGCGTCGCCAGTTCGAAGAGAAGCTTGCAACCTCATGGAAGACGGCCCCAAGAAGATTTTTGATTACGTGAAGCGGCGCTTGAGACCCGCAAATGATGTAGCTGTGCTAGAGGGCACTGATGGACAGCCTCTCACCTCCAGCACTGAACGTGCGTCCACATTGGCGGAACATTTCACTTCCGTTTATACAAGTGGGCATGCGCCTAGGTTAAGCTCGACGTGTGCATCCCCTACTAAACTCGAGGGCCTAGTTTGCGGTGTAGAAGATGTCCGCAGTCTACTTGCTAGTCTTGATGGCATAAAACCTGCCGGACCTGATGGACTACACCCGCTGACTTTGAAGTCCTTATCGGCCATTATCTAACCTGCCGTGACGGATCTGTTCAACAGATCGCTGTCCGAGGGTGGTACCGGATTTAAGGCACATCGATCACTCTCTCTGCTTCGAGCGTCCAATGGTGAAATAGTGGAACAAATTGACGGAGACGTTAGTCGAGGTGAAATCGGTGTCGGAATTTGTGAGATTCCTTGACGCCCACTTTGAGGACTACAGGTATAGGGAGCGTATCGTACCTGGATAAGATGTAGTGTAGCTGCAATGTACTGCCATCGCGCAGGAATCAGCGAGGTGATTCCGCGCATGTGTCCGATCCACCTACGATGGAGCAACATAGAATTTTTATCTTCTCGTTCTCTATTCTCAGTATTCAGAACACATTAAAAACCTCAGAACCGGGTGTGCGAACCAAGACACTGTCTTCTTCTGCTACTGTACATCGCATTTTTATCTATTTATTTTTTCTGCGATGATTATGATGTAATATTGGGTGTAATCAGACTGTGAATATATATATATATATATATATATATATATATGTATATATATCCAATGGTTAGCATGGTGAAAGGAAAGATTTTGATTAAACCTAGAAGATCTGTCACAAGTAGACTACCAGAGACATGTAGGAAGAGCAGCCTTTGGAGAAAAAGATCAGAGAGCCCCATTTAAACACTTTCGACGCAGATATTTCACAGGGTTTATTGATGAAAAAAGCAACAATTATTCACGCATATAGGTGGTCAGAGGGAAACGCATTCGGGAAATCCCGACGAGTGCTCCAACATACAGTAGAAGCCTACGGATATTTCATTCATTGAGTGGAATTAAACAAGGAGTAAATAAGACAAATGGTGAGGGTCAATAACAGCAAATAACCAATCACAGGGTAAACGTGCTAGCAGCGTTTGAGTGAGCACTAGGTAAAACTAACCGAAATGTGTTCAATCAAGGTCAGTGACGCAGAAGATCATGAGCAGAGGAATAAATACAAAGTGGATAGATGACATGGTAGATGAAGAATACGTGGCGGAGTCCCAGTGTAGTCGATTGACACGCCGACAGCGTGAATGCTTGAGTCGAAGAAGCGTTTGTGCAGAATGAATCATGAGGAGGGGGGTTGTGATGTAATTAACTGAGAGTCCATCGAAGCAGCTTTAAAGTAGATAGTCCCCTATATGCCCGGAAAAGCACAAGATGACTGTTTCATCCTATTGAGACTCGCCAGTAGTGTGCGTCCAACGGATCCATCAGGATTGAAACGCATGACCGTCAGCGACTTGAATCACGAGCCAACAGCTTGCACCACTGAATCATGGGGGACAGCGATATAGCGCGTCTTACCCACCATTGCCATATAAGGTACGACAGGGTTCGCTCCGAAACACATGATTTCCGTTAACACTAGCTATGTACGACATAGCATTGGACCATCCCAATGATGTTTTGCCGGCGGTTAACCTATCGAACGCTCTCAGATGAACTGATTTTGTTTAGTGGTCTGAACAACTAGTTTCGTTTACCTTATTTTGCAGAGAATAAACGCACATGTTCGAAAAATATTTGCTTTTTCCTTCATTCAGGGATCGAACTTCGGTTTGTTAGCACTGTCCGTTAAGGGTCGCTCACAGCTTTGTGTCATGGAGACAAAACACTACGGTTTCCAAACACGCGTACAAGATAGCAGCATAGAAAAAGAACCTTTGACTATTCGTTCCGAAAGCCGTCAACAATGACACGCTCTTCGTGGTTCCGGTGGTTCGAGGCATTTATGGTGCCACTACTGTTCCCAGAAAGATAAAGGTGAACGGATTCGTCAGTCACTGACGAAAGAAGTGAATGAGCGGAACGTAGATTGAAACTGTCATCAATGCATTATGAAGAGGTAACCCGAAGCCTATTGTTCGCCTAGCTTGGGCAATAGAAATGCTGTTGGGTTTCAGAAGTGGCTGTCCGTAGCCTGAAGGGCCTCGTCGCAGTCGCAAGCATCACAAGCCTGCCTTGTAATCCGAGGGCGCGAATCCGAGATTGCGAAGCGGACCGGGCGACCCTCGCAGTATCCGTAGCCCACGCGCGACTGTTGTTGGTTGCGCGGCAGCGAAGCGTCGGTACTGCGTACCGACGTACTGCTGATACCTTTAACATGTAAGTTTGTTCTGTTTAGCATTCGGCTTCGGAGTAACCACAACACCCTGATAAGGATTATAGCTAGCGAAATTGGCTAGAGCTTTGACTGATAGCGAAGTCTAGTGGAATGGAGGACGACAAAGCAATTTAGGACATCTGGTGCCATTTCGATATAATTGTGGCACGGTCCCAAAGACTGCAGTTAATTAGACAATTGCTGAAGAAGATAAGCATCTTATTCATCATCAAAAACTCTGATGGACCGCTGGACCGGACTTAATAGACAAAACTTCCGCAAGCCGTCTATGACACCATCGTTTGCCCAATCATCGAAGCCCAAACGTGATGATAACATCACGCCTCTTTGATACGGATTTGATGCGAATGACACTGGGATCCCATGACAGACTCCCATCATAGTTGAAAAACAATGATTTACGGATCGTTGGACCAACACTTCCATTCAAAGCTGTGGTAAATGGAAAAGATACCCACAAAACGACAGGTGTCAAACGTCATTTGATTCATCAAAAAAGCCACAGATTGGTACGAGGCCCTCCTCTTTTGCACATTGTCTCTACAAAGGGATTACAGTATGACCGCCCGGCGCTCCCCGCAGGAAAAGTAACGATATCTTCTACGAAATCTGACGATACATTGACTATGTTGCTGTACTTATCAAATGATAAAACAATGACGTGAAAATGGACGACTCGTTATGATTGTCACTCCGGGCCTGAAAGCCAACCGTGAATCAGCTGACTGTACACGCTTGTGGCCCAGCTTCTCTTCTAAGGGCGCGCAAAGAAAATACTTGTCCATTCCGAAATCACGGACGCTAAGCAAGAGTCTACGGAACGTGTCTCCCGATGTTCTCACGATAACTGGTAAGTTTCCAGGCTGTCCCATTTATCCCTCCCTTCATCAACCATATGAGCGAAATGATCCCAAGTGATCTAGTTCTCCTTGAGTGGTCTGGTGTGCAAAATCCACTCATAAATATAAAATATGAGGACAAAGTGGCGATGATACGAAGCCTAGGCTATGTAAGTCGCAGAAAACAGAAGGCTGCTGACTAGTAAACATAAACTTTCTGGGTAGAAGAAATAAATCGTAAATTCCTGTTATTCATCATCATCATAGCACATTAGCTGAAGGTGAGAAACACACTGTAACTATTGTGCCGCAGTAAAGATAACATATAAGAAAAAAAACAAGACACCAAATATTTCGGAATTCAAAAATCAGACAATATACTGTTTAGTAACATATTATGCATCAAGAGAAAGATCGTGATTGGAGGGGGGAAGATAAGCAGGATAGGGAAGGACAAAGAAATTCACAAGACAAACGGCAATGAGGTCGGCTCCTTGCTACGGCAACTAGTGTATCCAATCAGACGTGGTCATCGTTCTTCGGACTCCAGTTCGGCAGTCGGAAGACACCAACTATGCGCCAAGCTCATGATCAAGTCATCGCTTGACCTCCCCTCCTCTTCCAACCACACCCCCGGCGCGCAACACACACTATACACGTTAGCTAGAGGTGGGAAAGACCTCAGCTACCGTGTCACAATACTAAAAAAGGGAATAAAATGTAACAGAAGCAAGCCAGCTAAGCTACCGGTAACGGATGGGTATCGTTCCGGTAAGCTACCTGCTGGCTAATATACAGCAGAAAAAAAAATAATTTACTGTGCAAAGTTATAAAATGCTAAATAATGAGATCGTGGTTGGAGGGGGAGGCTAAGAGGGATGGGGTGGGGCAAAGAA